GGGAAAGAGAGCGAAACGAAGGTATAAGACACGGTGCACGTGTGTGGCTGGTGTTTCAGGTTGCAGCGAGGACGAGGCAGCAGGTGTCGTGAACGCGGAGGTGGGCGGAGGTTGCTTGGCCGGGGCGCCAACCACAGGAAGTGGCGCTGGAGGTGGTAGCGGGACAGGTAGCGAGTCCAGTGGTGGTGGTGCAGGCGGTGGTGGAGCAGGAACAGGAACCGGAGGAGGCGGCCGTGGCGGTGGCGGCGGCGGCGAGGGCGGATCGACGAAGCAGGGTGGCGAGAGGTGTCCACAGTGCGGCTTCCTCTGTCGGGACGTCCACGTGCTTCAGCTCCATCTCGAGGACACGCACAAGACCTCGTACGCCATCGACAAGAACGATCTCAACGCTCAATTCCCCCAAGTGGTGAGTGAAACTAACGTCAAGGACGAGAGGACTCCATTGTTCCTTGGGTATTATCGATCATGCGCGACCGGCCTGCGGAGAATCCGTCTCTCCTCTCTCTCTCTCTCTTTCATTTCCTCTCTTTCCGTCTTTGCTTTCCCCTTTCCCTTTACTCTTCGCCATTTACCTACCCTGTCTCTCTCTCTTTTTCCTCGTGTCGTTCAATTTTCTCTTCCTTTTTCCTTTTATTTTCTCCCTTTTATCTTTTTCTATCGCCTGTCTTTGATTCTTGCTCTTGCCTCTGTCACATCTGTGGGAAAAGGTTTCAAGGGGCTCGTTTGCTTTTTTATTTTCGTTTCGAGTTTTGCCATTCACGTTTTTCCTTCTTCTCGTGCCCTTCCGTGCTTCTTCTTTTTTCCTTCCTCTTTTCGGCTATTTGCCTTTGTTTCTTCCCGGTTTCGATGGCGACTGAGGGAACAGGTCCGCGAGTGGAGAGAGGAAATTGGGTTTTAGAGGGTCGAGATGCGATAGGGTTGACGATGGGGTTGATGGACGAGTGGCTCGCGAGGTTGAGATTGATTTTCGGGTTGTTTAGTATATGTAAGAATGCTTTGGTAGATTCGGCTTTTCGCGTTTTCCAATGGTATGCGCGTTACGGATCGGGAGCATGATTCATCGCTGAGTTTATGTAAAACAGTAGTGGCCGTCGCACCTGTGCGATTATAAGATTCAAAGTAGCTCGTTCTCGCGACGAGGTACGCGATCCTGCTTCGGGCTTATGATATTCCAGCTTGTCTTTGTTGTTTTACGTAGTCCACTGCTACGTTCAACTTGCGGTTCAAGAAGTAAAGAGGTTTTTATATTCCCATTACACCGGGGCTGTCGTTTGCAAAATTTCCATAGCGATTACATTTGAATTTTATAATTCCACATCCAGGTGCCTGACAGAAAGTTGCTAAATTGAGCGAAAAACTCCCTAAAAAATTCCACGTAAAATAAATTCGATGGTTCGGGAATTAAGTCGTAAGAATTTCGATCGTTAATCGGATAGAAACCGGGAAAATTTATTTCCGTTAAAAATCAGCCGATCGAAATGAACGACGATTAAGCGAATAACCAATACATTTTTCCAGTCCTGCAAGGTGTGCAGCAAGACCTTTGCTAACGTCTACCGACTCCAGAGGCACATGATCAGCCATGATGAGAGTGCCGTGCTTCGTAAGTTTAAGTGTCCCCATTGCGAGAAAGCCTTCAAGTTTAAGCATCACCTCAAGGTACTACGAGTGCACCCTTATTTTTCATTTCTCATTCGTACATCGTTATTTCCGTTCTTTGCTTTCCTTCTCGTCATCTATTTTCACATAGCACTGCCTGACTTTGATATAGTTTGTCCTGTGACTGAAACGAATGAATTCTTCCGATTAGAATTGATCTCTCTCTCTCTCTCTCTCTCTCTCTCTCTCTCTTTCTCTCTATACGCAATATAATTTTCATTTTTCATTAGGAAAAAGAAAAGATACTATAAGATATACATACACGGATTGCATCGGTCGATATACTTGCACCGGAACGAATATTCTTTACTGTTAATTCACTTTCAGTTCGTAGACACTAGTTTCTCATTGTCACGCCCATCCACGATTCTTTCCCCTTTATTTCGCATTTTAATTTCCATCTTTATCTTTCTCTTTGTCCCCAGGAGCACCTCCGCATCCATAGCGGTGAAAAGCCATTCCAATGCAACAACTGCGGCAAACGTTTCTCCCATTCGGGCTCGTATTCGAGTCACATGACCTCGAAGAAGTGCCTGATAGTGAACTTAAAGAAATCCAGGCATACGAATGTGAGCAACGTGGATCGCGGCCCGAAAAAGGCGCAACAACCCCTGCCGCCGGGACGGCGCGAGGTCGATCTGCTCGCGGCGAATAATAACACTTTCCTCCCTATTCTGCCGAAGCTTTCACCCTCGGATTATCAGGAGATACAACGGGAAGGAGCGGGTGAGGGTCGATAACGCCATTCCGTTTCACCGCAATCGTCTCGTGCACCTTGAACGAACTGGCTCCGTGAACTCGATTCCTAATCAAATACTAACACCAGACAAAGAGAGCCTGCTCGTATTCTATTCGAGTTTACTTCGTTCCGAATCGAATTGCAATATCCGCTCGTGTCGCTGCAATTTTTATCCTTCGTCAGGATTTTTCTCTTCGCCTCGATCGATTCGATTCGAACTACGATTGTAACAACTGCAATTCCTATTAAACCTACGTCTACCCCAACGATTCATTTGCCAGACCGATTAACTTTGGTAATAAAAGAAATAAAATGTAAAGAAATTGTTACGATTAATGTATATAAATATAAAAAGTTAGGCTTCACTCGTAAAACACTCGAGTACCTCGACTCGTAAAAATTTGTTTAAATTGTAAAAACGGAGTTTCGATCTCTTTGGTCAGCGAAGGGTACATTTATACCTCTAACGATTCGAAAGTGATTTTCTCGGTAACGTTTATCGAACACTTTTCATCAATTTTATCGAATACGTGTCCGTAAAGTTCGTTGCGATCTATCTCGAACACCCCGGAACACCTCCGTCACAGGAAATATACGACAGTTTGCGAGAAATCTCGCCGGGAGTTCCAAGAACATCCATCAGCGTTCGATATTCGAATTTGCATGAAAGTAATATCGAGGAAAGTAAGACGAAGCAAAGGAAAGTAGCAAGTTTCGCCTCGTAAGATTCGCTATTACATCGTGAAAGTTGGCGAAATGTTTCAGGCCTATAGTTGGTGGTCTAAGCGAATCGATGCAGGAATTAGAGGAACATGCAATAAAAGAAAGCAATCTCGTTTCAGGTATTTACGATATGCCGACCCTCCTACCGCAAATGATGGGCTTCGGCAGCTACTTTCTGCAGGCGTCCTTGGGCAAAATCTTAAATCAGCTACATTCCAAGAGATTGGACGAGGTAGCCGAGCAATTCGAGTCCCATCGGGAGCTTATGAGCCCGTCCACCGCGGACTCTGAGGGCACAGAGGGCACGGAGGGTAAGGAATCACCGGCACCGACCGATCCTCAGGGTCTGGACGCGGTTCGACGTATCCTTGAAACGGTGAACACCTCTGTCACGAAGCAGCTGCTCGAGGCGAACGTACGAAAATTGTCCACCTCGCCAGCCACGATGAAACGGGAGTTCGAGGAGGACTATCAAGTAAGGCGACACTGGATATCGTTGGATCTTATAATCTGCTCGTGTTTTTAGGATAGACAGGAATGGACGGAAATGTTCGTATCCCGGCGATTGATTTATTGTCGAAACTTTTCACGTTCCCCTTGACCACGTGCTCCTTTACCCCTTGATGGTGATTGGCGTGTCGTAAACTTTGTTACACGAGTGTCATAAACACTGGTACTTTGGCCAGACGTTTTGGGGTCAATTCTCATGCCTGTAAGGTTATTCCAAGGTCATATAAAGGTCATATTACGACACGTAAATTCTAGATATTAATATTAGGGACAGAAGGCTGCGAAGTTAATAGCCTTGCAAGCAGTAAATAAATGACCTTCGAAGAGAAATTTATGCTCGGCCATGTCTGTTCATTGAGACCATTTTTGTGAAACCCCTGTGTCGTAAATGTCGTTATTTCTTTGTTTTATTTTATTCCTACGTTCTAACTGTTTGTAACTTATCGTTTGGATACTATGCATGGTAATATATGAAATTGTTTGATCATTAACGAACGAATCGATGCAGGATCAAGACAGCGAGATGTCCAGCGAGATGGCACACTATCCAGACTGGTCAGCGACGGATCAATATGATTCGCAGAGCGAAGGTTTAGCAGCGAAACTCGAGGACGTGAATCAGCCCAGTGCGAAATCAGGTTGCAAGAGAAAAACAGAGGACAGCTCGGAGGTAGACTCGGAGGACGAGGAGGATGGTACACAGACGCACAACGATAACGGGAGGAGAGTTAGGGCTAGATCATTGATAGACGACGAGCAATTGGCTGTCCTCAAGGGTTACTATGCTATTAATCCTCGACCCAAGAAGGAAGAGATCATCATGATCGCCAACTACATCAATTTTCCTACTCGTGTCGTACAGGTGCACCTTTGTTCCAAATACTCTGAACAGATTCTATCCAATTAATCCGCTTGTTATTTCATTTTTCAATCTTTCGCGTAGTGATCTTTTTAGTAGTATCACACTGGGACACCGTGTATAATACTATGGGAAATCTATGTCTCGCAACCTTTACTTTTATATACCAAAATTAACCTTGTATTATAATGTAGTATATCTTATTCTAAGAACCTTGTGCTATTGTAAATAATATATAAGATAGTACGTAGAACCGCTAGATTATTGATCGACGGTACCATTGAAAAGGTTCTATAAATTTGTTATTCAATGTTCAGGTTTGGTTCCAAAACTCCCGGGCGAGGGACCGACGAGAATCGAAGATACCACCTTTAGTACCGTTGGCAAATTCGACCAGTCAGACCACGTACGAACAACCATTAGATTTGTCGAAGAAGGAAGTTCTCACGGAATCGGCGTGCAAAGACAATGACTCTGTCTGTGTAAAATACACATCGTCATCGCCCATTGAACACAAGAACGAGAACGCACCGTCGCAAAATCAAGACGCGGATGATCTAGAGGATTCGCCACTTGTTATTGACGAGGAGACCACCGATTCTGTGGAAACGAAACGTACGGCTACAACCGGGGGAGAAATTGTTCCAAAGGTAATAACGATGATGACGGTGGCCACGATACGGAAATAAAGCAGTAACGTGTAAGAGATATAACAATGGTTAACAGAATGGTAAAAAATAAATAAATAAATAAATGTATTTACGACGAAGCGTAAAGATGTTTCCTGGAGTGGTCTACTGGCATTGTGTATGGGCGTATAGATGAACAGGTTTATTGTGCTGCGTATGTTACATGATTTTCTTTTTGCAGAGTCAACCTCAAACAAATGTAAAGAACGAAAACGAAATCGCGAGTCAACCAGAGGCTTCGCCAGCGGCGGAAATCGAGCAGGGTGTCTACTTCTGTGATCGGTGTGACAAAACATTCTCCAAGCACAGTTCCCTAGCAAGACACAAATACGAACATTCCGGTATGTATTTCAATACTTCTCTCTTCGTTCCTGCCTTATAAAATAGCATAGAAGATTATAACTACTTGGTGATGTATCAATGTTGATTCAGATAATTAATAATGTATTGATACCGTTTTAGCAACTCTAAATAACGATAAAAAAGGAAAGAAATACAAGATACTACGTAGTTTCCAATATTTGACTAAAGCCTATATAAAGATAAATGTAAACGTTTAAATAAATTCGTATCCTGTGCACGATTTTCAAAGATCCAATGAATGTCCACAGGGCAAAGGCCGTACAAATGCTTGGACTGCCCAAGGGCGTTCAAGCACAAGCACCATCTGACCGAACACAAGCGACTGCACAGCGGCGAAAAGCCCTTCCAGTGCTCCAAGTGCCTCAAGCGCTTCTCTCACTCCGGCTCCTACAGCCAACACATGAATCATCGTTTCTCTTACTGCAAGCCGTATAGAGAATAGAAGTATTCCCGCTAGTTGAAAACGAAGACTCTCTCGCTGACTTAGCTAAGTATGTACGGTCCTTTTTTCCTTCCACGACACGGGACTCGGCATTTAAAAAACTTCGAAAAGGAAATAATTATGTCTCGCGTACCAACGCGTGGGAAGCACGTTAGGAGAATAGGAAAGACCTGACGACGAATTTTTCCAAACGAGATCTCACGCACGCATTTTAGACCGCGAGAAGGCTTGCGTGAAACGCAGCAGATAATAATTAGAGCCTAAAAATATATTTAGCTGAAGATGTTGGAGGAGGATACGAAAAGAAAAGAGGAAAAAGAAATACAGTGCGATTTCGGAATGAAAAGAACGGAAAAAGAATAAAAGATTGAATAATATATTGTACTAGAAGTTAAAGAAGATCGCGACTCTGTTCGAGCAACAGCAGTAACAACATCGTCCAAGTGTCACGTGAGTTTCTTCTCGAGTTCGTTCTCGCGCTGAAAGAAAGAGGATAAAAAGAAAAAAAGAAAAAGGAAGCAGAAAAGTAAAAAGTAAAAAAAAAAAATTCGCAGCGACTTCGGGTCGACGAGCATTAAAAAGAAACCAAACAATACGCAACGGTACCAAAAATGCATAATGCAATAATCTATTATATATTATATATAATATACATAATATTTTAGTATTTTTATTAACAAGATTATTATATATACCATGACAATAATAAGGAAACTAATTAACGTACAAATTTGTTAGCCACGTTCGCACGGGGCACGCGATACATTCAGTCGCGACGCGCAAACTGGCGAAGGGATATGGCGACGCCATAAAGAATTTCATTTTTGAAGGAGTTGCGCGTGTGCAATTGGATATTTCATGGAGAACGAAATGGAATTCGAAATGTATTCTTTGCACGAGAGGAATCATATTTAATAATCGGAAAACTTATCCTTTGGATATTTTTTATCAATTTGCCGTTACTCGATAATTACTTTGCAAGTAAAGAAAAGTTAATAAAAACTATCAAAGAATAATCTCTCGTTTCTGAAAAACCAGATCAGACATGATGTTCTTCAGCCGATTACGTGACAATGTCTCAATTTCTTCATTCACAAGTATTTTCGGACAATAACAAATTCAGAAGGTATAACAAATTTGAGGTATACATATTAATATTGAAAAAGCCAACAGAAAAGAAAGGAAAAGATAATAAGCGCGCGCGTGCAATTAGATAAGAACGAAAACCAAAGCTAAATGTTCAAGAAGGTTGAAGCACCGGACGGAGAGAGGATGCATTTGAATTTAAAAAACTGAGAGAGCTTAAACGCAAATTCCGATGAATCGCTGAGAACGGAGGCTAGAATTTCTAGTCGTCCGAACTACTCTCGCGATCGAGTGCTTTTTGAAGCTCGATGCAGGAGATTCGATCGAGTTACGATTTATTATACGTAGCGTCGAGGTGTTTCTGGGCCTTATCTATCGGTGATCGATGCCATGACGAGTAACTTTCAATCGTTATGTACTTACTTTAAAATCCGACTCATTATACCATCGGTATTCCCATAATGTTACGTGAGAGATTCAATATGTAAATTAAAGATTTTCTTTTTTAGCAGATCTCACGATAGTTTCATAATATCAAATGTACATAAATTAGTTGTTTACGGTCAGTTATTAATTTACCTAATTATTTAAGTACTTTGTACATTTTTTGTTTTTCTAAGTTAAATTTGTGTCGTTTTCTTGAATTATTCAGATGTGGTAACTTAAGCTTTAAGCAACATACGCTTTGTTATTAGTAGGATACAAACGAATCGTTTATTCGAAGCAATATTTTTATATTTTATATTTGAATCTCCGCGTATCACAATTTACGCTAACGAAAACGAATTAGAAAGAGAAACCATTTTACGTCGTAGGAAGATTAAATCAAAAATGCCTTAGACATTCCGTGAGAAACAACGTACTATCTATCGATGCATCTTTTTAGTTATTCATAAATCATGAAGTATCACCATGGCCTCTCGTACTTTTTTGTCGAGCTCACGAGGTCCATTGTACCCTAAGAGATTTTGATGGAACCTTATGAGCTGATCACTTTTTCTGACGCCTGAAAGGGAAATGGCATCGAGAACCTCGCAATAAAAAATGAAAAAAAAAGTAAATAAATACAAAAGAAAATCGAAAAAAATCCCTTCACCGAGATCCGGGCCCCGATCATAAACTCTAAGTATAATATTAAATGCTTCCAATACTGTACTATTAAAACAGAAAAAAAATTATTATTACAACATTTTTATGATTTTATTCGTTCGGACGCGTAGGTAAGCGGTATACATATATATATAATCTACAGATCGATAATACTCGAGAATTGTATTTTATAACGGTTTATGCCTCTTTTTATTTACACGTACCACGAGTGACAAGTGATATATATATTATATTATATAAATATATATATTGTTATTGATAAAAATTGATAAAAAGAAACGACGACTTATACGGGGATACACGGCAAAGAGTGTAACGTTTAAAAGGTCGCGCCAAAAAAGTAGGTAGTGTCGTGTTCGGCTGAGCGGGGCGCCACCGTTGCATTTCCTCCGCGTCTAGAAGCTTCGGTTATCCGCGACAGGCATCGTGTCCGTACTACGAAAAAATGGAAAACATCCAGATATGATGCTTATAATACTCATTTATTATAGTGTTAATAGTTAAGAAATATATTTTTATATTATTATAATATTACGACACGATATATTATATATATATATTATATATATAGTACTAATCGATCGCCGCGGATCCGTGAACCCGCGACGAGTCTGTTCCTCGGCTGGTACAGATACGCGAGAATCTTCTATTTTTATTTTCTAGTTTTCGAGACTCGATTTTAAACGATTCGACGTTCCTGTGCAATCGCTTTGTTATTTTTCTCCGTTATTTCTCATCATTATGTGTTACGTTCTCTACTTTCATTGACTTGTTTTTGTTTGTATAATTAATTTTTTTCAACGATTTTTTTAATCGTTTAATGCAT